TGACGGGTTTGTGTCACACTGCAGGTCACTGTGAGAGCGAGCGCCGGCGCTGACGAGTTCTCCACGTCGGTGACGTGCCCCTCGCTCTGCGACGGGCGGTGGCACAGCATCACGGGTGAGGGGACGGCCAGCACCTGGCTCTGGGACACTGCTCTCTCCTGCTGCTCAGCCCACATCTCCTGGGAGGAGCCTGGGCCCCTTCACGGGGTATTTAAATCCCAGCTCCCATCTGTATGCACTTCACCCAGGAGAACGCAGCACCCTTAAGTTGCTTTCTCATTAGAGGCCTTTCCTGATGGTGAGTGAGGAGAGACAGGGTGTTTCCCCAGGGCTGGGAGCTGCTGGTGAGGCCAGAGGTGTCACAAGGTCCTGGCTCCATCCAGCACTGGTGTGTCCTGGTGGAAGCAAAGCCCCAGCTTGCTCTGCTGCTGAGTGTCTCCAGAGGGCTCCAAGCCCAGAGCTGGGACCAGTGGTTTGGAGGATTCACACCTGTAAGGCCTGGCTCAGCCTTCAACGTAGCTGCCATTGAGCAAGTGCAAAGATTTCAGGTCACGCCCTTTCTGGGGAGGAGGGGTCACAGCTACAGCCCCCATCTCATTGCAGCTCCATTTTAAGCCCTCATCTTGTTTCACCTAGCACCAGGTGGAAAACATCATGTTCTGGTGTTTTTCCACCTTCAGAACCTCTCCCCATCCAGGCAGATCCCTTGTGCTGGGAGAGGGCAGCCCTCCTTCCTAGAGCAAGACTTGGGGCCTTACAGGTGATGGCTGTGGCCAAAGGACAGATTTTGAGGAGGCTGTCCAGACTCTGGGCATCTCCCAACAGCCAGGCCAGGTCCTCTCACCTGCCCCATAGTTTTTGCTCCACTCCAGCACCGATCTGGGCCAGAGGGTGGAGGTGGACCTGCTCTCCAGGTGAGGAAGCAGCACTGACTCATGTTCTTTTTTGAAGTTACCAAACGGAAAAACAAAATCCAGGTGGATGTGGGCACAGAAGGCAACTACACGGTGGGACCCAGGCAGCCTCCTGCACCCAGCACCAGGGCCACCTTCTACGTGGGGGGGCTGCCAGGTGAGTTGGGGAAGAAATCCCCTGAAGCAGAGAGACACTCTCCGAGGTGCAGACTAGAGATGCTTCAGCCCCTGCCCTCTCATCAGCCAGGCTGACTCTTGCTTGTTCCTTCTGCAGAGCCGGGCGGGGCCGGGGCAGTGCCGCCGTCCCCTCCCCTCCCGCATTACGTGGGCTGCGTGAGGAACCTGGCGATCAACGGGCGCCCCCTGGACCTGCCCCGAGCCAGGACTGTCAGCGGCTCCGT